TGTTCAATTGTGACATCATTAAAATGCGTCATCGGTAATTGTGACGGCATCAAAAGTGAATGACGATATGCATACCCACATGTGTTTTGTTTACAAACATGGCAGACTAATGTCGGTGAAGCTGTGACTGAAATATTAGGATGGGAGAAAAAACAATAATCCCCTACCTTGAGGATGTAACAGAGAAATCTCCAACCCTCGGGGTGATTTCTTTGGTTGTCTAACCCTCCACAGATCCTCGGGTTAGACAACCAAAAAACATCACCCCTCGGGTTGGAGATTTCTCTGTCACACCCTCAAGGTAGGGGAAGATTCTATTAGTCACCCCCTCGGGAGTGATAGTCTGGTGCAGAATGACGCGATCTAAGTCATAACAATTGTATGACGTCAAGTCATCAATGCATTGACGTCACGTCAACAGTAGCAGACCATGCAAAACATTTCTGAATTTGCTGGAAAAACATGCAATCAACACTTATTTTTTCATGCAATCACCGCTTGTCGGCGGAATTGTGAGTGAAAGTCCAAACAGGATAGGAGTAAAACAATCATCCTCCACTTTGAGGGTGTGATAGAGAAATCTCCAACCCTCGGGATGACATTATATAAATATTACATTCATTAGCAGGTGACAGAGAATATTGTCAACCCGAGAAAACCATTGTCACCCGAGGCGAAGCCGAGGGTGACAATGGGTTTTTGAGGGTTGACAATATTCACTGTCACCTGCTAATGAATGTAATATCTATTTTGTTACACCAAAAGTCAATGTAGCTCAGAAACGGCAGCAAACCTCGATAATGACATCTTGTTTGTTGATAGTCTGCTGTTTACAATCGCTATCGCACCGGCGCCTGATGAAATTGGCTGTTGCCGTCAAACGTTCTTGTGACCATCACGGTGGGGAAACGAAGCGGTGCACGCACATTTTTTGCGCATGTGATATTTTTCACTGTCTCATGGCAATATCACCCGCGCCCCGTAAAACCAATGTATTTTCGGAGGGTGACAGAGATTTTTGTTTAATTTTCTCCCAACCAATCAAATAGCTAGAAATTCACTTGAGGTGTAACAATCTCGAATGTCTTTCCCTCGGCAGGGCCTCGTGTAATGCAATCAAGAATATCATCCCTCGGGTTGGAGATTTCTCTGTCAATCCGAGGGAAAGACATTCGAAATATCATCCCATGGGTTGGAGATTTCACCTACATTGAGGGTGTGGCAGAGAAATCTCCAATCCGTGGGGTGATGTTTTTTGGATGTCTAACTCGAGGCTCTGTCGCTATAAAACTTCAAAATCAGCATTGCGTACAGAGTACAGAAGTGTACCAGCTTTACTCGTCATTGTCTTATAAGATAGTGTTAAATAAAGATTGTGTTCGACATAAGGATTAAATGATTTATTGGTTAACGATATTTCAGGAAAATAACAACAGGATTTTAATTTAATGAAAGATAAAACCGAATAATGACTAGCTCACTGCTTGAGGCAAATAGAGAATGTATCATATTTTATTTTTCCATTCAGAAACTCGTAAATGGTGGGAAAATTCTATGTCACACCCTCAAGGTAGGGGAAGATTCTACCTAGAAGATTCACCCTACGGTTGAGACGGATTCCCCTGTTCATAACAATATTGTATGACGTCACGTCAACAATACATCAACGTCACGGCAACAATGCATTAAACCAGTTTCCGCGCGTTATGTATTTCCGCGCAGCCATTATATCAAGCTATATCTCGTAACTACGTGACCTGCTGGACACAACACAAGGATATTTTAGACGTTCGGCCATCGTCTGAAAACTGACACAAAAAATACCAGAAGTTCGTCCGGAAAACATAAGAATTAATCACTGATTAAAAAACACGCATAAATATGCAGTTTTGCTTAATGCACTTTTTATCTTGCTCAAAATGAACCCATACCTGAAAAAACGGTGATATATTTCATTCATGAACCAGTCTTTTTTGTAGTCTGACAAATGTACGAAAATGTCGTATGCAAATGAGGCCACATCTCATCGCCGTGTTTTTTTCCACTTCATTCACTTCATTCTTATATCGATAAACAGTGTTTTCAATGAAACGTAAACCTTGTAATGCAATGAACTTCCAATTTTCACCAATTTTAAACAGAACATAATGAGAAATAACTAACCATCAACCAGAGACGTATAATACATGTATAATAATGTATTATACGTCTCTACAATACAATAATAGATTGTGAGTCACTTTTAGGTAGAAACATATTATAACTAAATAAATAAATTTATAAAATTACATGAATCCGTTCAATTTGAAATCTTGAAAAAATAATTAAAAATGTAAAATTCAAAAAAACCCATGTTTTGATAATTAATTTGACGATCAAAGATANTCCGTTCAATTTGAAATCTTGAAAAAATAATTAAAAATGTAAAATTAAAAAAAAACCATGTTTTGATAATTAATTTGACGATCAAAGATAAAAAAAAATGTATTCTATTCCAAACGAAGCTTTTGTGCAGGTCACTGTAGAGAATTTCTTTTTAGTGTATTCGAGTTATCTTTCTTTGAACACTAAATCAAAGTAGACACACGGAAACATATGACGCCTACTTCCGACGGGAGAAATTTGCTAAAAATTATTTGTTCTGATTTTTTTTAAATACAGTTTTATGCTGCTATTTTTGTTTTGTTTCCTTTAGTAGATTGTATACATGTTTATGACAGTCTTCCGTAATTTCAACAGATTTCTGCCGATATTACCATCATCCTCAATCTTTATTTTATTAAAAGATTAATTATATATGTATTATACCCCAAATTGCTATAATTTGTTAGACAGATAATAGGTTGGTAGGGATTGTCCAACCACCTGTTGTCTGTTCTACACACAAGTACCACAGTATAAATGTATATCTTATATTGTTACTTAATATCTGCAAGAATGACATCATCTTGCATTATGATATGTACAGTGATACATATAACTGATATTTTAATATTACAAGTGAAACAACATCATGCATAGCCCCACATATATATATTATCAGAAGGAAATCATATTTGCTAATGACAACTCCATCTTATACCGTCAAATAAAATAACATCTTATTTTGATGAAATAATATATCATCATCATATTTGACCAATTACAACTTATTCTATTCATATATATATTATTACGAGAAATTATACCATCTTATATTCATATTATAAGGTCAAATCCTTAGGACCTTTTGTTATCTAAGTAATTAAGATCTATACTAGAGGACCCCATTGGAAATAAGCTGCCACCCAGCTTTCATGGGATATCCTAGGTTAAAGCTTAGTCAAACAGATACATTGTAATTATAGTGCTCCAAAATTTGTGATATTAACTTTGATGTGATGAGCTAAATACTGTGATAAATCTGTGATTATTATGCAATTGAAATCTGTGATCATATGTGATATTTGTACCTGTATCTTGCTTTTACCGAATAAATATTATTATTATTATTATTATGAGTACGAAATCGCGGATGCTTCTTAAGTGCGCGGAAACCGGTAACTCGAGGATATAAGAGAAAAAGAATACCACCTTGAGGTGAGATTGGGAATGAGTCAGTAATACTGTGTCCGTGATCTCAATCGAGATCTCGGTTTATCATTTTTTCACCATGTTCCTTCCCGAGCTCCGTACATTTCGTCACTGTTTTTGTCTGTGTTACTTGTCATTTTAACACCAAGTCATTAATTTAGTTAGAATTAAATGGTGTACTAATCTTTTTCTTTCATCGATTTTGATATTTCTAGAAATAAAACACCATAGCCTTGCATAACACTATAAAAACGACATTGATTACCAGTCGATTTTGTACATATCGCATATTGTTGCACTTGGACCGACTAACAATAACATCTCTCGGATGGAGGTTTAAACTTTCCATCTTAGGGTTACCAATGAAAACGCTTTAATTGTACATGCCTGAGGTTTGGATGGCAGTGATCAGAGCCACTTTCTAAGAATACGGTTTATATTTGAGCTGATGATGATATAATGATGATGATGATGATGACGATGATGAAGTTCAACTGCTGGAATTGTTTTACCTCCACTCGCTTGTGTTAAAAACGCATTTAAAATCAGGGAAACTCACATATTATAATGCATATTTTGTTAAAAGAATGATCTTTAACGGCCTCTAAAATAGGTGCTCAGCACATATGTAAGGTTTATTCTCTGATTGAGGACAACAAGATTTTTTTTAGATAAATACACAGAGACGTATAATACATGTATAATAATGTATTATACGTCTCTACAATACAATAATAGATTGTGAGTCACTTTTAGGTAGAAACATATTATATATTCGTTTTTTCCACATATCATAGTAAACCCGATACTGAATAAAAGAAGTTAAACAGCCTATGCTATTATTGTCTATAATTAGCAATACAAATATGCATATTTGTCATCTAAAATGTCGATGAGGTGATACATTGCATGTCCATAAATTAATGATGTCATATAATTATTATATAATTGTATCTTCTTCTTTTTTAATTATACGTCTCTGATTATACAGAGCTGAGGGCAGAGGCTTTGTCAGTCCTATATATAAACACGGAATTAGATGTTATCCAAGTCCGTGATATAAGCCCTCGTCATATATGTCTACATATAGAAGACTTAACATCAGCTGAACATGAAGATACATATATATTAGCAAAGCGTAGTATAGAGTAAACAACTTGAAAGTGTTAAGTCATTACTAAAAAGGTCAGTAGTTTTTAGCATCCATACATGTACATCTATATGTATTCTACATGTAAAATATAAGTCCCGAATACAAAATCTACACGCTTAGATTGAAAGAAAGGTGTTAAACACGACTGACTCATGATCACTAAACAGATGAAATAGATAAAATAGATATCGTTGCAGTTTTATGGATACCAGGAAATTGTATTTAATTTGCTGAAAATGATTCATCTATCATCGATTTCTTAGGGCCACAGCAAGGAAGCACACGTTTTGATGACGTCATTCTTCACAGGAAATTCGTCCATGTTTTCATAGATCGATCAGAATGAGAATGCCTGAACCACTGTTGGTATTCGGTGTCTGTCTACGACAAAACCTGACTTGCAATCGTCGCTGTTGAGGCCAGACGGAACTAGAAATTGAGGCATGCCTTACCTACGGGACAAAGGCAGATTTTTATGGTGAATTTTGTTTCCATATTCTCAAAAATATCACCTAGAACACGAACCGCACTCCCGTGACCTGTCAAAGGAGGCAGGTCATTGTTGTGATGTTTTTGTGTTCGAGGTCTATTCATCTCAGATGTTGAGTCCATCCATTTTCACACTGATGACATCATTTCGTGAACGATTTCCATAACATTTATCTGTAGAATGAATTAAGCATCAGTGCTATTTTCTTGATGTGTAATGGTTTCTCCGTGAAGCCATTGGGTCGAGCTGTCAATATTGTGGTCGGTGGTCAATAATCACCTGAGTAATCATAATGTGCATATGTAGTCACTACGCTGTTGTTAGGGGTGATGTATAAGATATCACAGGAAATTCTAAACTTGTACACAATGCTGAACTGCTGATTAGGTTTTATTCCTTAAATATTAGATACACCCACAGACTTAGATAGCTAATTCTGTGATATACTGTTCTGTACAGTAGTCTTTGCTCATCTCAATATTCATGTTGGCTTCCAAAAGTGTTGTTTTTATTATTACATGTTGTGGCAATGATATGTTGGGTTATTTTTGTGACGTGTAACTTGTGGGCGGTCACCCATTCAACTTCTGACCTTGCTCGATGTTGCTGAACTAGTGAACGGGTCCCCCCCCCCCCGGGTTATACCGCATCACCATCTAGCTTGCCAGTAAGGCAGTATTTCCCCACATGTACCTAGCTAGCTGTTACACTATTCCCCCTCCGAAAAGTCCCGGGACGAGACTTGGCCTGGGGTCGAATCCTGTAGGTCCTTCCTGTGTATCAATGCATGTGCACCTTCCCTAACTACCGGTAACTGGCCTTATATATATACATGCATGAATCACAGAATCCCACCGCTGCAACCAAATCTAACATGCGGGCGGTCACCCATCCAATTTCTGACCTTGCTCGACATTGCTGAACTAGTGAGCGTGTCCCTGGGTTATATCGCATCACTGGAAAAGCTAGCTTGGCAGTAATTAAGGCAGTATTTTCCCGTCATATTAATTATTATATCTAGCTGTTACAGAAGTTTTGTTCTATTGAAAAAGATCAGATAGTATGTTGTCTCATATTTGCCATTTCCCATATATAGCTTTCATGCATGCAAGTGTGAAGTCAGAAATATGCCAGTGACTATTTTTCATTTTGCAGTTAAATGCTGCAAAACTCATGTGTTTAGGTAGAAAAGGCAAAGTTATGAACCCAGCAAAATATTGCTTATTTGATTATTTAATACTAGCTACAACAGCAATATTGTTCTGGACCTTTCATCATATGAGCATGTTAAACATACGTTATGTTTCGTGTTGGCTACAAATACAAGTAAATTTATGCTGAACTCACTATTGACCCATCCGAATCAATAAGCAACATTTTTTGTGTGTGAATTTAAATATAAAACAGACAATACTGTGAAAAAGGCATATTTTGACAATATCATTAAAATTGGGAAAAGGACAGATTAAATATAGAATTCAGACAGCTGTACACAACATAAGTTACAAAGCCTGTATCATATAATCATATGCCTTACAAAAGGTTTTGGCGAGAACTGCCATCCATCTACAGGTATTCAGAACTCGCTGGTCATTAGTATCTGGTCATAGATTTCAGTGTTTTATTTACACTGTTGATGATCATGTACATGCCTTTTTCCTTTAACTTCATATATTTCTGACACTTTGCATCTCCAAGTTACATGCATGCATCACTTTAACTAAAAAACCTGCTTAGGTTGTGGAGATCATCAGTGTAATTGATTAGGTTCCTCCAGTTGATGGATATAGCCCCTGAAGTATGATTATACCTTGAAAGTATTGCTAAAGATTGATGGCACCTTCCATAATGTATAGCTTAAAAACTGTGGTACCTTTCTAAAGGTATTAACACATTTAGAAAAAGATGACGCCATGTAAGTATCACCCGAGAGAAGTGGCACCCCTCTAAAGGAATTAACCCTGATCAAGATCATCCCTATGAAGGTATTGGCCCTGAGCAGTAACGATCCATGAAGGTATTGCTCCAAACCAGTGGTGAGCCCCTGAATGTATTCCCTGTGGACAGTATGAACCACCTGAAGGTAGCCTCCCTGATTAGTGATAGCCTGCTGAAGGTTTTAACCCTGAACAGTGATGACCCCCTGAAGGTACTTGCCCTGATTGGTGATAGCCTGCTGGAGGTTTTAACCCTGAACAGTGATGACCCCCTGAAGGTACTTGCCCTGATTAGTGATAGCCTGCTGAAGGTTTAAACCCTTAACAGTGATGAACCACCTGAAGGTAGCCTCCCTGATTAGTGATAGCCTGCTGAAGGTTTTAACCCTGAACAGTGAAGATCCCTGAAGGTACTTGCCCTGATTAGTTTAGCCTGCTGAATGTTTAAACCCTGAACAGTGATGACCCCCTGAAGGTTCTTGCCCTGATTAGTGATAGCCTGCTGAAGGTTTAAACCCTTAACAGTGATGAACCCCTGAAGGTACTTGCCCTGATTAGTGATAGCCTGCTGAAGGTTTTAACCCTGAACAGTGATGACCCCCTGAAGGTACTTGCCCTGATTAGTGATAGCCTGCTGAAGGTTTTAACCCTGAACAGTGATGACCCCCTGAAGGTACTTGCCCTGATTAGTGATAGCCTGCTGAAGGTTTTAACCCTGAACAGTGATGACCCCCTGAAGGTACTTGCCCTGATTAGTGATAGCCTGCTGAAGGTTTTAACCCTGAACAGTGATGACCCCCTGAAGGTACTTGCCCTGATTAGTGATAGCCTGCTGAAGGTTTTAACCCTGAACAGTGATGACCCCCTGAAGGTACTTGCCCTGATTAGTGATAGCCTGCTGAAGGTTTTAACCCTGAACAGTGATGACCCCCTGAAGGTACTTGCCCTGATTAGTGATAGCCTGCTGAAGGTTTTAACCCTGAACAGTGATGACCCCCTGAAGGTACTTGCCCTGATTAGTGATAGCCTGCTGAAGGTTTTAACCCTGAACAGTGATGACCCCCTGAAGGTACTTGCCCTGATTAGTGATAGCCTGCTGAAGGTTTTAACCCTGAACAGTGATGACCCCCTGAAGGTACTTGCCCTGATTAGTGATAGCCTGCTGAAGGTTTTAACCCTGAACAGTGATGACCCCCTGAAGGTACTTGCCCTGATTAGTGATAGCCTGCTGAAGGTTTTAACCCTGAACAGTGATGACCCCCTGAAGGTACTTGCCCTGATTAGTGATAGCCTGCTGAAGGTTTTAACCCTGAACAGTGATGACCCCCTGAAGGTACTTGCCCTGATTAGTGATAGCCTGCTGAAGGTTTTAACCCTGAACAGTGATGACCCCCTGAAGGTACTTGCCCTGATTAGTGATAGCCTGCTGAAGGTTTTAACCCTGAACAGTGATGACCCCCTGAAGGTACTTGCCCTGATTAGTGATAGCCTGCTGAAGGTTTTAACCCTGAACAGTGATGACCCCCTGAAGGTACTTGCCCTGATTAGTGATAGCCTGCTGAAGGTTTTAACCCTGAACAGTGATGACCCCCTGAAGGTACTTGCCCTGATTAGTGATAGCCTGCTGAAGGTTTTAACCCTGAACAGTGATGACCCCCTGAAGGTACTTGCCCTGATTAGTGATAGCCTGCTGAAGGTTTTAACCCTTAACAGTGATGACCCCCTGAAGGTACTTGCCCTGATTAGTGATAGCCTGCTGATGGTTTTAACCCTAAACAGTGATGAACCCCTGAAGGTACTTGCCCTGATTAGTGATAGCTGATGGTTTTAACCCTGGACAGTGATGACCACCTGAAGGTTCTTGCCCTGATTAGTAATAGCCTGCTGGAGGGTTAAACCCTGGACAGTGATGAACCCATGAAGGTATCCCCCCTGATTAGTGTTAGCCTGCTGATGGTTTAAACCATGGACTATGATGATCCCCTGAAGGAACTTGCCCTGATTAGTGATAGCCTGCTGAAGGTTTAAACCCTGAACAGTGATGAACCCCTGAAGGTACTTGCCCTGATTGGTGATAGCTTGCTGAAGGTTTAAACCCTGAACAGTGATTACCCCCTGAAGGTACTTGCCCTGATTAGTGATAGCCTGCTGGAGGTTTAAACCCTGGACAGTGATGACCCCCTGAAGGTACTTGCCCCTGATTAGTGATAGCCTGTTGATGGTTTTAACTCTGGACAGTGGTGACCCTCTGAAGGTAGCCACCCTGAAATCTTAGTCTGGCTGTTTTCACACTCCTGTATATTTTACACCTAGTAAATAAACCCAACGTGAGTGGTAAAAGGTACTTCTTCAAGGTCAAAGATTTTTTGTTGAAGAAAGGAGGAATGTTGATATAGCAGAATAGGAAGCTGGCTCAGTTGGTTTCAGAGTTCATATTAAGTTTGAGGATCCCAAGTTAGAATCATTATCTGTTGCTGTTCATAATATCTTTGTTGTTCAAAGTCTGGCATTGCAAGACGGCAAAGATCATATGACCCCACTCAGTGTTGATTTGATAACATACATGTATAGGAGGTACCAGCTGGCATGCACAATATTGTATGATGTCCATGACAATCTGCTGAGAAGTGGAACTTGTTGGTTATTTCTGAGTATGCAAGGTTTATATCTTTGTAAAATCCATCAGAAACACATTAGACTGAAGACAATGACTATTGATTTTTGATGGTCACTTTGCTACAAATAGAACTTTGGGTTTCGAACCTGTTAAAATCAATCACCATCAAGCTAATTTAGTGTGATCGTATACTTATGGTAATTAATGCTTCTCGCAGATCTGTGCCGCTTGGTGGATGTATTGATTATAAAGCTAAGATTAGTACAGTAAATATACCCCTCAAACAGTGTACCCATCTCTCTATTATCTAGCAGTATCATTTATACCTGTATTTCTGTACACTAAGACCGATTCAAGACAGCAGCTTCGATTCCTGGTTTGGGCACAGATGTCAATCAAGAGCTACTGTAAGTTGGAGATCATGGTCAGGGTCA